GATGCCGCCGCCAGGTGGGGTAGATTACTACCGGCGCTGATGTCATTTGGGCATCACATTGGACAGAAATCAAAGTGTCTCTCCGATGTTTGCAACAACAGTAGTTTTGAGAGGTGTAAAGAACCTCGCAGTATGAGAGAATGATAAAAATATCCTACCATTGAAAAAATGTTTGCTACGGCGACATTGCGGACGCCGACTTAATTTTCCTCCAATGTGACACACCTTTCACTGATTGCGAAAGCGACGGCTCAATGATGAGAACAAGAGGGAGCAGAGGTTGAAGCGCGACGAGAGTAAATTACGATATTTAGGTGTGCTCTGTTGCCGCAATCGCAGTGTTAAAGTATGGAAGAGCATAGCAAGTGTTAAAATATGCAAGCATGTGATGGTGATGAGAGCCGTTCCGGCTTGGAGTGTTCTACTATACACGATTCTATTCGTTTCTACGTATTTGGGAGTTCGTGTATCCCGATCCCAACCACACATTCATTTCAGAACGAAAGCAGTGGTTGGTTTAATCAAATTTTCACAGACCGCTTAGATGATTTTATGCAATCATTCTACACCCTTTTTCTGATATGGTTGGCTAAAAAGTAAGTTCGTTTTGGCATATAAATTATCATAGAAACTTTCTTGTTGTTTTGTATCTATTTATTTTTGTGGAAAAATAGTTCGAAGCTTCCCATCAGCACAGACACTCAGACAATCGCCGGGGGCAGGCGGGCACCGGAAAAATAGATTGCTGGTCTCTCGCACCCCGCTCGCGGATTTTTTGGAAAGCAATCAGGATTTTTCGGAAGACCGTTTGCTGAGTTCTCGATTTTTTAGAGATTCAGCAATACATCTACAAAAGATAAGAGCGAAAAAAATTCAACAGGCGGTCTCTCAAAAATCCGCTGACTCAGCAAGCGGTCTTCCGAAAAGTCCTGATTGCTTTGCAAAAGATCCGCGAGCGGGGTGCGAGAAATCAGCAATCTATTTTTCCGGTGCCCGCCTGCCCCCAGCGATTGTCTGAGCAGTTATGCCTCAACATGGCGAAACTTCCAAAAGCTCAATTCTTTAACTTCCTAAGCTTCGTTTTCATGCTGTAATGGATGTAAAGAAGTAGTTTGGCATTTGGATCTAGTGGAGTTTTCCAGACTCTGTGAACAATAAAAGAAATTGTGATCTGACACTTTGAAAATGTTTCATTAAGAAAACCAAATTTTCTCATATTTGCGCACTATGAAAAATTGCGCTTTCTCACTTCTTTGCAGATTTTTTCCTTGAAAGATAAATTTTACTCAAAAGAAATAGATGCTCCAATTCTCACTGAAGTGCTCTTTCCAAAGATACCAAACATTGGAAGAAATTTTTTTGCAGCATTTGTAAGAGCTGCGAACGCGACCGAACTTATTCATTAGCCAACATGATAGTTGAAAGATCCGATAGTGAGCTTGTCAACCTCTATGGTGCATTGCTTGCGCGATTTTTCGCCACTCATGTAATCTATACAACTCTTCGATTCGTTTGTTTACCACGTATTCGGAAGCACATTCATTCCAATCGCGCAAAATTAGACAAAAGCAGTGGTCCATTCAACTCGTTTTCGTAATCGCATACTGATTAACTTTGTGAAAAGGCAGCCATCCGTAGAGCAGAATTCTATTTTAGAATAGTGTCATCAGCTTTCCGGCCAAATTTCGAGAAATACCTTGAAAATCTCGCTTTTGACAACGATTGCTTTCAAAAGCTCATATTTTCTCTCGAAAAGGTATGTGTGAGCGAGCACATTTCTAAGACGAAGGAAATGTATTAGGTTGTCCAAAAATTGATGCAGTCGCGACAGTGTAATTATAAAAATGTGGGAAGCATATCACTTGTAGAGCAAAGCAACCTCTACAAGATTGAATTGAAACGACAGCAAAAGTTTGATCCACGAAGGTTTGAAGGCCATATACAAAAAAATTCAAATACCAAAAAATCAGATTTCCGTTCAAATCACAACGTCTAAGATTTATATGCCACTTTACTGCATTTCTACAATGGTTGGAAATCGAAAATTCAAATGGGCCACAAATGCAAAAATAGTGCCATTTTCGCGTTTTTGAAGCTATTAGTTTCTCCGGAAATTAATGCCTTGAAAATTTTGAATTTCAACCGCAGTAAGTCATACACTTCTTATTTCTAATTGTTTGCAAATCACCATTCGATAGAACAAATCAAGCTCTACAAGATGGCTCTCTTGCTTTTGCAATAGCTTTTATCCACCTCGAGTTTTAAGGTAAAAAGTAAAAAGACTCAGCTGCCCGAAAAATCGAGAAAAATCGTAACTTAGTTTATAAAAGTCAAACAAGAATTCTGACTTGCTCACGTAAACACTATCCACATAAGACATCTATACACGCCGTTTTTGTCTTTTTTCACCCTTTAGAATTCAAGAAAATGGAAATTTTTGTGCATTTGAAAAAGTGATGCTGTGCCGTTCCCACATGAGTAATCGTATACTACAAACCTGTAGAAGTACAAACGTAAATTTTCAGTTCTCTGCAAGCTTTAGTTCTCGTACCGAATACAGCTTTCCCTAGTTAGGTGGTCCAAGCTGAAATTCAGATCTCTCGAGAAAGCTAAAAATTTAAGTCTGTAATTCTACGGGCTTGTGGTATACAACTACCTATGTGGGGACGGCATAGCATCACTTTGGCAGATGCACAAAAATCTCTGTTTTCTTGGTTTTTAACAAAGGGAAAAATACGGCAAAGGCGTTTATAGATGTTTAATGTGGATAGTGTTAACGTGAGCAAGTAAGAATTTTTGTAGGATTTCTATGGACTGAGTTACGATTTTTATCGATTTTTCGGGCAACTGAGTCTTTTTACTTTTTACCTTAAAACTCGAGGTGGATAAGATCTGTTGCAAAAGCAAGAGAGCCTTCTTGTAGAGCTTGCTTTGCCCTATCGAACGGTACTTTGCAAGAAGTGAGAAGTGTATGGCTTATTGCGGTTGAAATTCAAAACGGGCATTAATTTCCGGACAACCTATTAAATTCAATATTTCTCGGAAACTGGCCCCTGACTGAAAATCTATGGCTTTAGTCCTAAAGGTTCGCTAGCATAGGACTACCTAATGGAGCACTGCATTTGCGAGCCCCTGCCAACTTTTGTTTTCTCAATTTCTAACCATAACATCGCAACTGTACTCGTGAATGTTTGATGGACAATGGACAAATGGACAAAGTAGTGACATTTTAGTATAGCTAGTACGAAGTACAATCTATGGCTGACCAATTCGGAGGTTCGCAGGTTCTTTTTGGACGGAAACCTGATTTTTGACTATTTGAATTGTTTTGGATTTTGCTTTCAAACTTCAGGTGGATCAAAACTTTTGCGATCGTTCCAACGCTCTGAGGTTGCTCTGCTCTATGGAATAGTATGTTTCTCACCTTTTTATACACTGCCGCGCTCGAGTAAGGAACCTCGGTTTTCTGACAACCTAATACATGTTTTGTAGAGCAAAACAGTCTTTTAGAATAGGGTGATCCGTTTTCCGGCCAAATTTGAGGAATATTATGAAAAACTCGCTTTTGAAAACGACTGCCAGGCAACAATTTTATTGCTTTCAAAAAGGTGAGCATGCAAGCATTCACAGTTTTGTGGGAGGAGAAATGTACATTTTCGCACAGCGATTCACCGTTTCAGGAAAAAGACATCTGTATTGCGCGCAAATATTGAAGAAGTCTCTATAAACTTGCTTTGAAAGCGATTATGCTGCAATACACAGGTGAAATAAAGATTCTCGAATGTTTCTGTGGGTTTAAAACAGTATTAAGAGTTTGTCCCAACCCGCTTGCTAGCGACTTGTAGCGTCCATGAGCCAAGACATAGACTGCATAAACGATGAGTTCATTTTATGCTATTATAGTGTGGGTTGTGCAAAGGTTTTCAAAGTTCAAGATAGCCTGTGCTTGGTGAAGTTGTACCAAAAAGCTTGTGTGCCTGGCTTTGCCCTATGTCTTGCCTAAGCCTAAGCCTGGCTTTGACAAGACATAGTTCCATGTTACCATTACCAGCTATACGAAATTTTTGCAGCCTATTTGTCCACTGGAAATCCCGCTTGACAAGAATTATACATTTTCCCTCTTGAACGTCATTGTTGAAAGAAGCTATGAATCTTCGAATTATACGAGATTATGCCAACCTTGCACTACAACGAGAATGTTCTTTATAACAAATTCCATTTTCTCGTGACAATCGCAGACCTTTTATTTTTGAATTAAAAAAGAAGTCGTGTACGAAATTTACAATGCTGAAATAGTGCGACGTAGATGAGACGCTATGATTTTTTAGCAACCTTCTTGAATAATGCCCAGGTTCAACCTCATAACCATCAGCCAGGGCTCGGCACGAGGTGGCTAGATGAAAATGGAAAAAACGAAGTCCCCCTTGACTTTTGCGAATTTTTACGAAGTTCCCTTTGACCCTCAACCAAATTTCCTTAAAAACCTGAAAAATTCCCCAAAATCCCCCAAAAAACGAAACGTCGACTAAAAAAAAGGTCGCCGTCGCCAATTTTCCGTGTCTCTTCGGTCACAAAAACGAAACCCTCTTTGCTTTTCGTCCCAAAAACGATATCCAGCTTGCTTGTAAGCCACCTCGTGCCGAGCCCTGCCATCAGCATTCAACGTTGGTTTTCTAAAATCCGCGTGTAACGCACTTTGGCGCTTCTTATAGACTTGATTCTTACCGCCAAATGAGCTGCCTACAATCATTAACTCATAGTCTTTACAAAAGGCCTACAATGCTTAAGAACGTCGGGAGTTTTGGTGAATTACGGGAAGTTACTGTGAAATTGTCAGAACGGTCCCCACACAAACACTCTCACAATATCATCTAAGCAATGTTATAAAACTGCTTGAAATTGGGCAGAGGAACGAACTTGAACGTGCCGCCTTCGCAGACTACTGGTCCCCTGCGTTCTCGCGACTACAAGCTGCGCCCTAATCATACCGTAACACTTACCGGTGCTATTACAAATGTTTCTTGCAGGCGTGGAAAAACTTCTTTGAATTGTCGCAGATATTTGACTACATGAACTATGGGGCCATCTTGTAGTGACAAATAATGCGTTCTATTCAGTGTCCTTCCTATTCCATAACCAGCTATTAGATGGAAAAGCTCAAAAAAACGAGTATCACTACAGCAAATACTTTAAATAGTAACTCACTTGAGCTCCAAACCGACCAGTGTTCATGCGAAATCCAACATATTTCCTTGATGACTCAGTCTTCTCATCAAAGCTACGCCATTTGACTGCGACAATAGTGAATAGAATAACGAACAGACCCAGAAGAAAGACTTTCCGCGATCGTAGCCGACTCATTTCTAAACATGTGCCCTTGGCTTCCGATTGAGATGCGTGTTGAACGTGTTTTTCATATAGCGCAAGCGAATGTTGTCGCCGCTTTGAGGAGTAGAAAAAATCAATGCAGATCTATCAACATTAATTGGTGACTATAATACACTGAGCCAATGTCTTCACATAGACGAGGTAGGGGAGCAGGTCTCCTCCAGGTCAGCGGGTTTCGGTATTCCGCTCCTTGAAAAATGACGGGGGTAACTGAGCCTCGAGGTGATGTGACGTAAGCATGCCAGCAGGACTAGGGTGAAAAGGAGAAGAACAAGTGGTACAGAGATATGATATAGAGTCTAAATGTTTTGGCATTAAAAGTTCAAAAACAGTGACGTTTTTTGATGCAAGGAAACTTTGGCCCGTAGTAAAGCTGCTTCATTCGATCTCAGCTGAGAAAAGCATCAGTTGAAGCGACGAGTCAGCTCTGCCTCGATTAAGCTATTGACTGATAATTCCAATTAACCACGTTGATATGATTGAGTGCGCCACGTTCATGCAAGTATACAAGGCAAAACCCATTCGCCAAACATTCACATCTTTGTGATCGGCACTAGCGGCGGAGATGTGGCCGCACTTGATAGATCTTGTTAAAAACCTTCAGCTGCACTGTGACTCCTCTCTCAGTATGTTCGACACGTGGAACTGAAGTGTATCGTAAGTTACTCAGGAGTAACTTAAGAAACTTCTCTCTAGATCTTCTCGCTAACAGATTATTTTAGGAGATCATCGCTCTAATCTTCTCCCATGACTCGGCAAGGGGATGATCTCCCGGCCCAGCTTGACCTGAGGCTCACATGTCAGGTGACGTAACATTCTTTTAGCATATGGAAGTGGGCGGTCGTCGTCTCATCTGACCGAACCTGGCATGAGGGCTCAAGGGATGATCATCTCCGCTGATCTAAATTTACTACGGGCCTTTATGTCTTATCCATCGACATATCATTCGAAACCTTAGAACATATGAGATCGATGTAGATCGTTCCTTTTTCCGTTTCTTCTGGGGCTTTTCCTATATGAAACTTAATCTAGCTGCAACATCCGTTAAATTTATGCGATCACTTTGCGCTCCATTTTTGAAAGGAACAGGGAGGCTAGATGAAAAAGAGACGGTCCAAGCTTACTGGCAGTCCCTTCTGCTACACAGTTGGACAATTAGGTTTTTATTCGTCAGCGTGGAATTTAGACAAAATGCTATATATCTCTGAGTAGAAAAGAGCGAAAAAACAGATCATCTCCCATCACATTCCATGGTGGGCGGGGCCAGAGAATACAGGAGATGAGCGCTGCTTCCGCGTTGAAATTTCGGGGGTTAGAAGTGGCAGAGAAAGATCGGACTTTGGCCGATAGGTTCCATATGGGGGCTCCTACTGTGACCTTGTTTTGTTACGGTCTCATTCTGCCGATCTACTGCCTTTAAGAGACACAAGATTGGTAGTAATCCGCCTTATCTGGAGGCACCATAGATGCCGGCAGGTTGGCACACATCGCGGGAAGTTGCCAATTCCGACTTCAGCTCGCGGATTTCGTAGGTTCTAATAATAATCTTATGTAGTCTTAGTCTGCAATCACTCCGCGCATGAAATTTGATGACGCAGACAGGTGCAAAACGGCAACATTGCGCGCGTTCGAACCTGTATGCGTCAACTTCAAGTGTCGCCGCGCCAATCATTTCGAGCATTCGACCATGACTGACGTTTGCACCAGCAATGGGAAAAATGCACCGGTAAGTGGCTGCCTGATAATACATTGCGAGAGACTGAAAGAATAGCTGATTGATATGAGCAAGGGAGAGGCGACAGTGCAAACAAGATTTAGCAGGGATCGCAAAAAAAGCTCGTGATTTTTATGTTTTTATGATAACAATGGGCTTTTCTCCATAAGAATATCATCGATTCAATGAGTAAAACTCATATAACGAGAAAAAATAACAGTTTTTTAATGGAAAGTTGAGCTCTTTGATTTCTTCGCCTATCGTAAATTGTGTGATATCGCAGCATTACCCAAATTTACAGATGCCGCCACCAAGGTGCCAGCCATCGACGCGGTCGGGGCACGTCGAGGTGCCGACAGCTTCCTCTCTTAAGAGAGCACGCTATTTATCGTGCTGCCGGCATCTGCCTCCTCGCAAATTTTTACGAACTGCCAGCAGGTTGCCGGCAACTGAGCTTGCGAAGTTGGCGGCAGCTTCTCCTGCGCTCCTCAACAGTTTCTCACAAAAAGATTCTTGGAACTTCAAATTTCGATGGAAGTATCTCAAAGTCGCGGTGGCCCTCTCACCCAGGAACCTTGAAAAAAAAAGGTTGAGACGGCCTATTCAGGATCTTAGTTTCTGGTGAGCTCACGGCAAGATGAGGCGGCTGCCTGCTACCAGGCTGGGAGGATTACTACCGGCCCAGAGGATTCCTGGGGCTTACATTGAAGATTTCGGCACTATACTAATTGATTTCGAAATTTTTCATCGAATGAATGAATATCGAATAAATTCGAAAATGAAAAATTTCGAATAAACGAGTATCGAATGAATCGAGATTTAGAGATTCTCGAATGACTGAATCCCGAATAAAATCGGAAAACCAATACCGAATGAATAAATATCGATTATATTCGAACATGGAATTCAAATTTCGAACAGATATTCGAATGATTTATCGAATATATATATATATATATATATATATATATATATATATAATATATATATATATATATATATATATATATATATATATATATATATATATATATATATATATATATATATATATATATATATATATAGTGACCGCCAAAAATTTGCGGATAAGTCGCCCTCCATTTTCATCGTCCATTCTCTGATGAAAAACAAGGGTGAAAAACAACTGGATTGCATGAGATGATAGAGTTTCAATGGCTACAATCCACACATTGCGCTTTCTGTAAAACATTATTCTAAAAATTTTAGAAATCTTTTTCTCGAAAAAGTCCGAAAATGGTCTCGTCACATGCCGCGAACAATAATTTTCGAAGGCAAAAATTTTCCTTTTATCCCTTTTTTGAGCAAAAACAGATTCCCGGACAGGTAAGCATACTATACCATAGAGCTCATCAAGGATCAACAACCAGGTAGTGCTTACTTCCAAAAAATGCAAGCTTATATTTTGTTTTGCTTTTTTTAGAGAAATCTTATATATAAAGCTGAATGTCTGTTTGTATGTATGTATGTATGTCTGTCTGTATGTATGTATGTGTGTACGTATGTTCCGAATAGAAAATTCCATTTCTGAACCGATCCGGACCAAACTTGGCACACATACACTACGGGCCCCGGCGGGTGTCATAGGCTACTTTTCGTTATCGATCGATATCGATTTTATCGATTTTTATCGATTTTTTTGCTGAGTTCACCTACGGGGCTGGGAGTTGGCACAGGGGGGTAATCGAGCATGGGGATTCCGAATACAATATTGGTTTTCAGGATTATCGATTACTTTTATTGATTTTATCGATTTTTTTGCAAAGTTTGAGCTACGGGGCTGGGAGTTGGCACAGGGGGGTAATCGAGCATGGGGATTCCGAATACAATATTGGTTTTCAGGATTATCGATTACTTTTATTGATTTTATCGATTTTTTGCAAAGTTTGAGCTACGGGGCTGGGAGTTCGCACAGGGGGGTAATCGAGCATGGGGATTCCGAATACAATATTGGTTTTCGGGATTATCGATTACTTTTATCGATTTTATCGATTTTTTGCAAAGTTTGAGCTAGGGGGCTGGGAGTTGGCACAGGGGGGTAATCGAGCATGCTGATCATCCCAAGGGGGGTGATCAGCATGCTCGATTACACCCCTGTGCCAAATTCCAGCCCCCTAGCTCAAATTTTCAAAAAATCGATAAAATCAATAAAAGTAATGGACGATCTTGAAAACTAATATTGTATTCGTAATCTGCATGCTCGATTACCCCCTGTGCAAACTCCCAGCCCCGCAGGTCAAACTTTACAAAAAAATCGATAAAATCGATAAAAGTAATGGACGATCCTGAAAACTAATATTGTGTTCGTAATCAGCATGCTCGATTACCCCCCTGTGCAAAATCCCAGCCTCGCATGTCAAAATTTACAAAAAATCGAGAAAATCAATAAAAGTAACCGATAATTCTGAAAACTAATATTGTATTCGGAATCCCCATGCTCACTTCCCCCCTGTGCCAACTCCTAGCCCTGTAGGTGAACTCTGCGAAAAAATCGATAAAAATCGGTAAAATCGACATCGATCGATGACGAAAAGTGGACTGTGACACCCGCCGGAGTCCGAAGTGTATGTGTGCCAAGTTTGGTCCGGATACGGCGGAGCCGGGTAAGCCAGCTAGTAACTTCTAATTTTCTCTTTTGAAGCAAATTTCTTCAATAGAAAACTATTCAAGGCAGTACAAAGCTGTTCAGATAAAATGGATGCTCTCTGCCATGATCTAAGTATCGGACGTGTGCTGGTGAGTTTCTTGGCTGAAAATGAATCCTGACAGTGCGGCACATGACTCTACCTGCACCTCACCACTAATTTGCACCGCTTTGCAAGCTTGGACCTCGGCCAGCTGTCACTATGCGAGCTTACAAATAGACTCATTCGAAAGAGCGTGACTTCCTCGACACGATGGTATGCAAATGAGTTAAGTTTGGGAAGTTCCGGAGATTTTACGAGTGGGGTAAAAAAGCGCAGCTTTATTGATAGGCTAAGGATCTTTCAGCTAAAGTTAAGCAGAGCTCCAATCGCTACCAGTCGAAAAAAAGCGAAATAGAATGCAAACTTGGGTTTTTTTGAGGTAACCACTACCTGATTATTGTCCTCAATGAGCTCTCTATATAACCCTAAAATCCCATAGATAAGAGCGGTTTAATTTACCGGTGAAAAATGAATTGGAAGAAATTAATTAATGTAATTGAATGCAGTCACCCTTCTAACTTGATGGATGGATAAATAAAAATCGGAGAAGAAGTTTAGAAGAAGC